ATCGCCTCAAAAGATGACCAGTTTTTTCGACGCGGGATTCGTTCGCTACCCGAAAGATGGGAGAAAGTAGTGGCCAGCGATGGACAACCCTTATAAAAATATCATACTAAGAATTATTGATAATTACTTATTATCCAATATTTTTAATACTGAAAATAAGTAATTATCAATGATTCTTAGTATGATATTTCTATAAGGGAATATTTTGAATCATAAATGTATAACCAGTTTTTTACAATAAAGCCTCGAATTTCGGAAAAAAAACGGCGGAAGCAAAGTTGTAGGGTGTATATCAGTTGAACACGGGACAATTGGACACAGTCCAATCACAAGTCGCTGTTCCAAGGAACCCTACAAATGTCTCTAATCACACGGTGCTGTGATTGGCTGTGTCCAAATGCACCGTGTCCAAGTGCACCACTCCCTACATAATTATATTAGGTGTACAACTTTGGGAGCGGTGCACTTGGACACGGTGCATTTGGACACAGCCAATCACAGCACCGTGTGATTAGAGACATTTGTAGGGTTCCTTGGAACAGCGACTTGTGATTGGACTGTGTCCAATTGTCCCGTGTTCAACTGATATACACCCTACAACTTTGCTTCCGCCGTTTTTTTTCCGAAATTCGAGGCTTTATTGTAAAAAACTGGTTATACATTTATGATTCAAAATATTCCCTTATAGAAATATCATACTAAGAATCATTGATAATTACTTATTTTCAGTATTAAAAATATTGGATAATAAGTAATTATCAATAATTCTTAGTATGATATTTTTATAAGGGTTGTCCATCGCTGGCCACTACTTTCTCCCATCTTTCGGGTAGCGAACGAATCCCGCGTCGAAAAAACTGGTCATCTTTTGAGGCGATCCACGAATCGATCTAATTTTTTACTTCTTCATAAGACCGGAAGTGCTGGTCAGCCAGGCCGTGTGCCAATGATCGAAACAAGTGATAGTCAGAGGGAGCAACGTCTGGAGAATACGACGGGTGGGGTAGGACTTCCCATTTCAACGTTGCTAAGTATGTCTTGACCACTTTCACAACATGGGGTCGAGCATTGTCATGCTGCAAAATCACTTTATCGTGTCTCTCGTTACATTGCGGCCGTTTGTTTTTCAATGGTCGGCTCAAACGCATCAATTGCGTTCGATATCGATCTCTTGTGATTGTTTCAGTCGGTTTTAACAGCTCATAATACACTACGCCGAGCTGGTCCTACCAAATACAGAGTATGATCTTGGAGCCGTGAATATTCGGTTTGGCCGTCGATGTGGAAGCATGGCCGGGAAATCCTCATAATTTTCCGCGCTTGAGGTTATCGTAATGAACCCATTTTTTGTCCCCAGTCACAATGCGATGCAGAAATCCCTTCCGTATTTGCCTCTCAAGCAACTGTTCATAAGCAAACGCCATTCAACATCTCTCGGCTTCAATTCGTACGCCCAATTTCCTTGCTTCTGAATCATTCCCATGGCTTTGAGGCGTTTTGAAATGGCTTGTTGAGTCACTCCCAATGATTGTGCCAATTCTTCTTGATTTTGACACGAGTCAAGACTCGTCAAATTTGATCAAGTAAGTAACGAGAGACACGATAAAGTGATTTTGCAGCATGACAATGCTCGACCCCATGTTGTGAAAGTGGTCAAGACATACTTAGCAACGTTGAAATGGGAAGTCCTACCCCACCCGTCGTATTCTCCAGACGTTGCTCCCTCTGACTATCACTTGTTTCGATCATTGGCACACGGCCTGGCTGACCAGCACTTCCGGTCTTATGAAGAAGTAAAAAATTAGATCGATTCGTGGATCGCCTCAAAAGATGACCAGTTTTTTCGACGCGGGATTCGTTCGCTACCCGAAAGATGGGAGAAAGTAGTGGCCAGCGATGGACAACCCTTATAAAAATATCACGTAATGCGTCAGACTTGATCAAGTAATGCCTTCAATTCTGCATCTTCGAAAACCTTCTCTCTTCCACCGCTATGCCAGTCTTCGACGTTAAAATAACCGTTCTTGAAGCGTTGAAACCACTCACGACGCGTTCTTTCACTAATAGCAGCCTCACCATAAGTATTTGAGAGCATTCGATGAGCCTCAGCTGCAAATTTCTTCATATTGAAGCAGAAAATTAAAACCTCCCGCAAATGACGAGAATTTGGCTCGTAAACTGACATTTTCAATCGAGAATAACTTTATGATGCAGACACAAATCGACTAATGTTTCTATGGGGTTATGTTGACAAATGCCCAAGGTTATTGTATGACGTCTATGATCTATTTATTTCGACCACCACTTACCGCTAAAGCCATCTATAGGAAAACGGCGGAAGCAAAGTTGTACACCTAATATCTAAATACATAAAATTATATATAATTATGCATAATTTTCGATAATACCCCTTATAGAAATATCATACTAAGAATCATTGATTCTATCACTAAGAATCATTACTTATTTTCAGTATTAAAAATACTGGATAATAAGTAATTATCAATGATTCTTAGTATGACATTTCTATAAGGGACAAATGTCTTTTGATGCTATAAATAGTAACTTTTTTCGTTTCTTCTATGTTAAAACTTAAAGAAAAACTTACTGAGAGTTTCTTAATACGCAAAGAGAAAAAAAATTACTTCATATATCTCCTCCGTAGTTTCGAACTCGAACTACCTCATCTGTTCTGCTTGGTAGTCCTAGTCCTAATCTTGGTAGCTACTGGATTACTTTGACAGTAAGAGAGTTAATAATCCCTTATAGAAATATCATACTAAGAATCATTGATAATTACTTATTTTCAAGTATTTTTAATACTGAAAATAAGTAATTATCAATGATTCTTAGTATGATATTTCTATAAGGGATGATTCTAATGTCTTATACGATATCTTGCTGACTTGTACTTATACAAGTAGTTATATTTTATACAACCGCTCGTGTGAAGATAGAACGGATTAAATTGAATAGAAAAGTCATGTACCATTTTGCAAAATTCGCAATACTTGACAAGGAATAAATTATTCTCTGTGAGCGCACGTGAATCGGTAGGCCAAACTCCATGTAAAGAAAAATAGTTTACTTCTGAAGATGACCGCTGTCGCACGGCAACGCGCCACTGTTCATGTCTACATCGCTCTATATTCTGATTATATCCCAGCAAAC